TCACAAGGGTGTCGCTACTGTCGCGACCTGGACTTGAAACTGCGCGACAAGAGGAGATGATGCCTTTGCCTGACCACCTGCGACCTTTGACATTCTGACCAGTCGCACCATACGTGGCGTCTGTGCCCTCTCGCATACAATGTGCTCTCTCGCGTTTCCCTCTCCTCGCAGCGCTGTGTCTCTCCGTCGCGCCACGGTCCGACCTCACAAGGAAAATTTCAGTGTTTCTATGCACTTTTTGCTTTTTTCTCCCTAATGTCCTCCTCGCACTTCTTGTCTGATTTTCGAGCGAATGAACATCATTCGATCATGGCCCGTGCCTTTGAGTACGGTATCATTTCGGTCAAAGATAGTCTATTCTGCTTCTAGATCTCGATTCAAAGGGAGTTCCAAAATGCAGTCTGTGTCTGTTGTCGCCCAAGAAGAGAAGCTGGACTATGTGTTCTCATCAATATATTCACTATACACCGTACTGGGAACAATACTGAACAGTATCTTGTTGTTCCTGATTATTTTCCTCAAACAAGAAGCCATCGAACGACGGTACCGCCTTCTTTTGGGAAACACCACCTGCACATTGCTATCACTTGCTGTATTAACGTTTTTCTTGCAGTTACGGTAGGTGCATAAGTTCTGAGAGAGCTACGCTGTTTAGACTCCTTACGGAAATCGATGAGCACGTTCCTCTACACTGAGCGTCACTTTTGGTCTACGTTGTGACCCACGCCAATTGCGGTGCGTCCCTTTGTTCGCGTCACCGCAGCTTGGACCTCTTGGCCGTCATCCAACCGCATTTAGGGCTTAAGAGCCTATCATTGGGGTGCAACAGTTGTATAGAAGTCCGAAGCAGTTGCTTCTGCACCTCCACCAGTGACCCATTGACTAGAGGCCCAGCGTCCACTAGCACGATGCTTGGATGGAATCCTGCCAGCTCAGGTGAGCTGCCGTTCCATTTGGAGTCTGAGAGATACTAGGCCTTCCTGGAGGGATAAAACACAGTATGGCATCCGACTGAATACCTTTTTTTTGCGAGGCGGGTATACGCACAAGTGTGTTTACCATTTTAGGGGGGGGGGATTGGAATGTGGTGTGCATCCTCAGCGAACCCAGCAATTCTGCGAGCCCTAACTTTTCTTACTCGACTACGTTCAGATTTGTGATGGCTGGAGACTCAATGGCATACGTGTCGCTTGGACCAGCCCGATTTTTGGATAGTCCGCGACTCAGCCTTTTTGCGACTTCGCTGCTGCTCGTCACTGATATCTACTCATTTATGACAATCGCAATGTGTATGGTCTACAAATACGTTACCGTGACAGGAAGGTTCTCCCAGCGCAAAGCGAATTCTCAGTCTTATCGGACTGTTTTACCTCTTGCCGCTTTCAACTGGAGTGAGTTTCCTGTGGAATTGTGGGAATAAATGTCGTTATGAATATTACGGATGTATTCAGGCTGCTCTTTATGTCTGTTACAATCAGACTTCACGGTTTTTTATTATAAGACGGATTCGAAGGTATGCATCCGGAATACAACATACAGAGATATGGGAAGTATTGCGGCTTGCCAGACGTGAAGAATTATTTTGTTATGTACTTCTTGGTGGTTGTATGCCTTATCGGTGTGGGATCGTATGTCGTCATGATCGTCGCCCGGTTTAAAGGTGAGTGGCGAGTAAGGAAGAATAATTGGAAACAAATTGGTAAACGCGCAAACGTCTAAAGTAACAAAAGCGTTAAGACCCAGATGGGATTTCGACCCGCGTTGTCTGCTTTCTGGACGCCATTACTCACGCTACCGAGACCATAAATTAACTTCAGCTTTTCGATCCTATGAGTATGATGGCTGGTTATTACGGTCGCATACAGGTACCCTCTGCTTCCGAAAATCAGAATAGCGTAGAGTGCAGACCACGCACCACAAGTGACGACGGCCTCCAAGTAAATCTGGTACAAGTGATTCATAGTGATAGCTGATAGTTGGTAAATGAGTTGTAATTAGTGACAAACTGATAGAATACAACTGCAACAGGCTAATCATTTCATTGGCAGAAAACATTTACATTTTGTGGAGGCCGTCGTCACTTGTGGTGTGTGGTCTGCACTCGACGCGCTTCTGGTTTTCCGAAACAGAGTCTATGAATAAATCTCGAACTCAGTTCGCCTCTGTAAGTCATTCTCCGCATTAGTCATAAGCACTCGAAAGTTGCATCTACCCTGGATGGATTACGAGAATCGGTAGCATTCAAGTGGATCAATCAATACAATTGATTTCTATTTGGATTTCTTATAATAACTAATTTTTTTAGATCAGACGATATGCATTGTCATTCCATTCGACGATGTCCCCAAAGAACACAAGGATATTCAATATGTTAGTGAAGGTTTGTTGACATTACTTGTTCCTCGAACATAATTTCTTTTGCAAACAATAAGGAGGTGGGGGTTGGGGAGTGGAAAGAGTAGTGGCAATCGACACATACCACGCTTTTGGCGCGGAGGTCAAATATCCGATCGAATGTCGCTCAGGTCCGCCAAAAACATTCAGTCAATTGCTACCAGGCTCGTATAGAGGAAAAACAACGGAGCGCAGCGTGGCTCGGGAGGGGGCACTCTGAGAAAAGTCTCTAGGACTAAGCCTAAACAGCAGGGACGAACTCCGGAGAATACGAAAATTGCTTCCGCACACCGGAGTTCCTCCTCCTCTTCAAAAGCTTAGTCCTGAAACTGAGCGTTTCCATGATTTTGACGCGATTACGTGGTGATCTCCTCCCGCCCCCCCCCCCCCACCACCCGAACCGTAGCATGTATCCATTGGTCTTGATAGGAGCCTAATGGTATTCAAAAGTGCACCCACGGTACCGGATGGGAGCAGAGTGCTCACCGCATCCCAAAAGGGAGTGATTATGTCGCTTGTGATGAAAAGTTTTCTGCGTTCGGTCGTTCAACGAAGCGTACACTTTCCACCTCAGCAACTTTTTTCATGTGGGCTTTAGGGTACCCCCAGGAGGCCCATCGCGCGGCAAGAAGGCGGCGGACGAGTCGCAGCGCGTGATGTGCGATGTAGGACGTGCAATGGGACATTCTATTTAACTTGACGCGAAATCCCTAATACGCGCGCGACTCGTCCGCTGACTTTGCCTTCTTGCCGCGCGACGGGCCTCCTGGGGGTACCCGTGGGCTTTACGTTGGACATCGTTACAGTGACATCAGTATCGCTCCAACAACCTTGCCATCCACTTTTGTAGCTTTCTAGAGCAGAATTCTTCAAGACAGCTTTTAAGACCCTAGTGCGTAGTTTCAAAAATACTTTGGAGCATTGCAATCATTTTAAAACTACTAAACAAGGGCCTGAGGGCCTTATGTAGGCCATCAGATGCAATTTGGCCCAAACCATTCGATACCCTCGATGTAAGGTCAGCATATTGATATCGAACTTCCAGGAAAATAAAGCGCTGTCGTGAACATCATTCGGCTCTCTCAACTCGCTAGTATGTACATAGACCGAACGCTAATTCACTCCTATTGATTGTTCCAAATAGAGTTCTTCGTATTCATGGCCCATTCATCACCACAGCATATTAGAGTATATTCGAGACTCTCTTTACTTGAACGAAAACCAACAAACTAAGGGCTTTAAAAAACTAAGGCAAAAATGGTCCACTTCCAGGCTTTGGTTATTCAGTCGTGTATGCCGATATTCTTCTCGTTTCCCACGAAATTCCTTTATTTCTTCATGCAGTTCGGCGTTTTCGAATCGTTAACTGCCGAATATCTGGTGTTCGCCATGTCTCCGATGCTTGCCGTGGTTGATCCTTGCGTAACGATGTATTATGTGTTGCCTTACAGGAACTATATTCTGAAAAAGCTTAGGCTTAGCAAGGGCAAGGAATCTGCGCTGAGAATCGATGCGTTGCCTCCGGCGAGCCTTCCAACTAGGAGTGTTCATTTCACAGCTGAAACAATGTAATATTACAAATTTTCGTTGCGTTGCACAGAAGCTTTTGCAAGAAACTTTCTGCTGGTTACGTCAGGGTGTGCTACGTGGCGCAACAGTTACAGGCGTTGCTTTTCATTTACGCAATCGGCAGGATCGGATATAGGCAGGTCAAACCGACTCTTTGCTGTCTGGAAATCGTTTATTCGGTTGGATATATGTTTGCTGGTCACAAACACTGCATAGCCTGCAAGCCCTAGCACATAAATAAAAAGAAATAGTCTATTCAGGTTACCCAAAAAGACTGATCCTTCTGGGATGCGCCACAAATTCCTTTGTGTACAAGCCAGCGTTTTTACCTCCACCCTCTCGCCCCCTTCTAAATCCCCTAGCTGCCAGTGCAGCACCATGTGGAATGATTTCGAGTGCGCTCAGCAGGGCAGCGTTCATAGTTCGCGACTTCGGAGATTAGGATAGTGCTAGATCAGGATAGGGCTCTATACAAGTGGGGTGGGCACGCCCAGCTTTTCACGCATGTCAAGTGACTGCCCTCACCCCCCCCCACCCCCTAGATTGGCTACACTCCCCCTGGCTCACGAATTCCCCGATTCTCGTGACAGTATAGTAGCGGGCAGCAGTCCCACTTACATACATTTCTGTTCAAAAAATGCGGCGTGCCCACCCTACTTGTATAGCACCCAGGATAGTACTCTGAGAAGATTAGATACTTCGTGATCGATTTTCCTGACGACGCCTAATCTGCCTACTCCAGCAAATCCGATCAATACGTAATCTTTTCATCGGAGTGCGCTGCTCTGCTACTATCCCTATTATCCTACGGCCTATTATCCTAATCTCCCATGTCGCGAACTATGAACGTGGCGACGTGTAGATATAGCCGCTGGGAGTGTTATCGTTTATCAAAATTATGGCACCGCAAAATATTGATACTGTAAGAGCTGCGAGGCCCCAGTTATGTTAGCCGTTTTTTAATTCTACGAGCTGCCTTATCACTTGTTTTTACAACCATAATAAAACAATAATCATAATCACTTTATTCGCGGATGGACAGACAGACACACTGGCAGATGTACAGTATAAACGACAGCCCCAAGCTCAGCTCGCGTTGATATATATTAATGAGGTGTTCCTGTTGAGACTAGTTGTTGGTTTGTAACCATCTATCGATGCTAGTAGCCACCTATTTTGTGCGAAATGAAAAATGAAATATTTGATATACTAGTTAATAATAAACAAATGAATATGCTCTTACTTCTGTAACATAGCGTTGTCAGTTGAATCCTATTGTCTGTTCTGGCGTGACAGACGAACATGGCCCACCGCTGGCGACACCTGAGATCGAGGTTTTTCGCCCTCTTCGATGATTTGAAGCATGTGCAACCGTGATGAGCTGCTTATCTCGTGTGTCCACTTCTATCACTCGGGGCGCAGAGAGGCGCGAGCACGTTTGTCAGTTTGCCTAGCGCGGCTCAAGCATCGGATTGTTCCGATTCGTTTCTCCCCGTTCACTTTGCCCTCGTATTAGCTTCGTCATATTGACTGCATTTTTTTTTACTTTTCGATGTTATGCTGAATACTAGTCGCATTTGGGGAATAATCCCGCACAGTACCATCCACATCTAACATAATAATTTCTTGCCAATTTATTATCGATATAATTTAGTATGCGATTCAATTGCGGTCAAATTTTGAGTAAAACAGTAGGATTAGGCAAGTATAAATAAGCGTTGCGTAGAAGTTACAGTTTGTGGATGATTAGTCAAAGAGGGAGCACTTTACAGTTCACAAAAATGGTGCTGGGACGACCACTACGGATCAGAATGATTTTCCATTTGAAAGGTATGGATGGATGCAAAATTTCACCTTCTTGTTAATGAATGATAGAAACGAAATCAATTCTGCGGCACAGGAGGTGGACGAGTAGACGGACTCCACTTGTATATCTTGATCTATTGCGCCAGAAGTCACTGCTTAGGCCCAGACACACCAACCACGATTACAGAGCTGCAGATGAGCGGCATCCAATAGTTCTGAAGCACTTTACCATTTGTCTACTATGAAATGGGTAGAAAAAATTCGGAGCATTGAAACGTGGCACTTTGCGACTGGCGAGACCTGAGGTGCCAATCTCAGAAGTAGGTAGCTGCCAGTGTCTGCTGCATTTCACTATGAAATTTCAATGCGTTTACGCGGAATCTTCTTTAGAAGCTCATTTTATCTCACTCGATACGAGCATCGTTAGGTTCTTCTGATTTCCCATCGTATCGCTTACACACCTGACCTAGTTCCACTGTGTGTGTTACAATGGCGATATAGGAAGTACAGGCTGTTTGTTTCACAAAAATCGATCGTCTCGCCTTACTCAACAGTTTCCACACGCTTCTGGACAGCCCAAGTTTACCTTCGCCACACTCGACTCTCCTGAGTTTTGGGGCGAAGATGACGAGCGATTATTGTATCTTGGACTTACTAACTACAGACGCTACAGGAAATCCAAACTGGTAGACAAGATTGATCAGCAATCAAGCTTTCACGATGTCAGCGGCCGCGAGGCAGAACACAGTTTTTACTATTGTCCGGGAATGTTAACCACACACTTTCGAGGAAACAGCTCAGGAAAAACATAGGAATAGCTTTCGACGATTCAGTTCTTCTTCTTCTGAGCTCTTCCATACAGATTACACCATGAGTCTCTCTGTTCACTTTCTTTGGAAGATCATCTCGTGAGGCGTGGTTGCCATACAAGTTTGGGAGTGCACCGGCCAGGTTTTTCACACATGTAAAGGACTAGCGCTCCCCCCACCCCCTAGACTCTCTACACTCCTCCTAAAACTCACGATTGCCTGATTCTTCGTGCTCAGAGGGTGCGGGAGGGTAGGGGTTCGCACTTACTCTCCACTTGCGTCTTCTAAAAATGCGGCCTGCCCACCCTACTTGTATAGCACCCTCAGGCTAACTAACTTGATCTCAAAATCGACACCATCCCTCTGCCTCGATCGGAAGTCCATGAACCTCAACAGAAGAAGATGGCTTTCTTCCCAACTGTTAATAACGAGTTGTAGATAAAGGGGGTGTATCTTGTTTCGAATTAGCAGAGTATGAATAAATAAACAAAATTGACTTCAAAAACACCTCTAGTGCTTTGGAAATTATGCAGGTGCTCAATAGAATGCGTGTGCATCCCCCATTAATAATTGATTAATCGACGACAACCTCATCTATCGTAGGTTCAAAGTGTGATATCAAGCTTTTCGAACCCTTCAGCGACTCTGAAGGTGGGGCGAATCTCAAAACATCTCCAAACCGCGTGACATCGTATTTATATGGCTGGATTATATGGCGGGAAGGGGTTTTCGGTACGATGCAATAAGTCGATGCAAAGTATCAAATTTTTACTAACAGGAAGCACCTGGCAGGCGTAACCCTAAGTTAGTATTACTATGTCCAGCTAACAAGGGGGTTGTACTTGGTTGAGTTCGTGTGGGAGGGAGCGTACCGTTGCAAGATAGGCTGGGCGGACCCGTTTGAGCGGGCGCAGAGAAAAAATTTGCCTTTCAGCGCGCCGTATAATATCATCCTCCCATGTTTGGCGGCTTATGGGAGGGCAAAAGTGGGCGGAGTTTGGTGGGTTGAGGGGTATCAGAATTAAATACTATGGAGAGGATGATGGTGGTCGGGGTGAGGGGAAAGGGGTCCTATCAAGTCCACCTTGGGGGAGGGGGGTCGTAAAATTTTTCAAAAAGTAACAACGATAGGGCTGACCCTGACCTGGGGCCGTATCCTATCCTACCCCAAGGCTACGACGTAGGCGAACAAAAAATCCCTTCGAATTTCTTTGTCATTCCAACCAAAATCGCCCTGAGAAACTGCATAATTGTAATGTATACTGTCAAAGCAAAGAAGTGCGGAAAGTAATTGAACAGTGTCGTTGAGAACAAACAAATTTAAAGAACTCTTCTTTTCCCCTGGCCTGGAGGAAGGATAAAATGCGGCCCCTCTACATTTACCACATCAATCAATACACTTCTCTAAACATTCCATCAAAGTCAGGGCATTCTGACACTTTTCCTGCAGCAAATCGATACATAATAGCTTCAAAGTTCAATTTTTTTGAGTGAAAAGAATTTAATTAAACTTTTGCGAGAGGTATGAACCCAGGCAAACCTCGATCACGCAAAGCTAGGTTGAATGACTTGAGTAAGCGGAAATGCACTGGTGACAATCTCAAGACCAGCGAGCACGTTCGATCAATAGTCAGTCACTAAGAACCAGTTCAAACTGATGAAATTGCGAGTTTCAATAATATTTGCTGACAAGGGGATATTGTAGCGGACAAGTTTCGCTGGCCCACCAAAGGATGGGCAAGAAAGTTCTGTACAAAATAGTATATAATCAAAGAAGAAAGTTTTCGTCTTTGAATTCGAAGTTTCTGTGTTCATGATAAAACTTCCCCGTCAGCTAATAACTACAACAAATATTACAGCAAAAAGACGTGGACGAGAATCTCTGCTTTTTGCGTTTTTTGGAGTTTCAGGGAAAATACTGAAATCACTGCTGAATAATCTCACATTGATCTCGTAATGTCGATAGGTATTTCTTGATTAAATTGAAGCTCTTATAATTTGGAGTGGACTGAAGGATGGCAAGCTCGGAATGCCTTGCAGTGCATGGTTTGTTTATGTAAGATGAATAACTGGAATAAGAATTGTAAAGAAAATTTGTTATGAAATCTTCCTTCCTCCTATTTGCTTACGTTGTCGCTGTGAAGCTACATGCGTTTTCCATCTGGCGTAAGTCTACCTGGCTATTTTCAGGGCGATAAGGTTAAAATCACCTCTGTCGAAGTATTACATATTATTTCCGAACGATGAAAGTTGAAAACCGCTGAATATGACTTTTGACGAGGACTACCCACGACAGCGTTCAACGACGACCATCAGAAGGCGATCACCAGTGAACAAGAAGTTCGGAGGTACGGAGAATAGCCATGATGTTGCGTATGAACCCCTTAC